GTGATTGGCCAGCTATCCAGTGCGTTGTGATTGGCCGAATACCTCAAGCACGTGACAGAAATGTTACGCCCGTTAACATACACATTTGGTGATCATCCCAAAACAATTTCTTTTCAGATGTTTTAAATATAACATTTTAATGATGTCGATCGGCTGACAAATCTATTTTTTTGATGAATGAATGTATGATGTAATAAACAAACATTTCTGAATTTAATTGCTATTTTTCAAATGTTTTATAGACAGTAAATTAAAAATTTTAATGATGCTAATTGGCTGATAAATCTCTCTTCTGAAAGATGAATGAATGAATCGATCGATCAATCTACATTTCTGAATATTAAACTGAATATTACCGGGATGGGTTTATCTGTTATGTTATTAACAATATAAATAAATTATTTTACTGATAAATTATATTCTTTGGGTAATTTTGTATAGCCTTCCTTTCAAGTCTATATTGTAAGCATTTCAGTACAATTTAAACAGTTAAATTTTAACAGGAAAAAAATATGACTAACTATAGCTATGAAATATTAAACAATTTATGAAACAACAAAAAAGTAAAAAAAAAAAAAAAAAAAAAAAAATCTATTTTTCTGGCCTTAATTTAATGAATGACAAACAACTAAATATACAGTATATATATATATATATATATACACACACACACAGTCGTGGTCAGAATTATTGGCACCCTTGGTAAATATGATCAAAGAAGGCTGTGAAAATAAATCTGCATTGTTTATCATTTTGATCTTTTATTTGAAAAAAAGTCAAATATCTAACCTTTCATTGGATAAGAATTTATAATGGGGGGATAAATGGGAAATATCATTGACAAATATTTTTCTCAAATACACGTTGGACACAATTATTGGTACCCCTAGAAATCCTTATGAGTAAAATATATTTCATATTTATAATTGAGCACTCCAGGGTGATTATGAACGTGAAATTATCCAGCCATGGCTTCTTGTTTCACAGAAATATAAATAGGAGGGAAAACAAAGAAACAGCAAAAATCAAACAGCACCTACATCACCACACTTCAAGAAAAGAAATTAAGAAAAGAAAATGCTCTCATCCAAAAACAATCCCCAGCATATTCTGTTATCAGACACGTCTGGAACTTTAAATGGGCAGATTTAGGCAACGGCCCCACAAGGTCCATCCCGATGCGCTCGAAGGGCACCTCAATGATGGGCAGCGGTATCAGCGGACTGGGGGGAGGCGTCCGGGGTGACGTCACTTGGCAGGTCGGGCAGGCTTGGCAGAACCGCTTCACTTCGAATTCCAAGCCCGGCCAGTGGAAGCGGTCGCGGATCCGCTGGATGGTGTTCCCGGCTCCGAGGTGCCCTGCCAAGGGATGGCAGTGAGCCAGATCCAGTACGGTCTCCGTTTTGGTGCGTGGCACCACCAACAATAATTTTTCGTCCCCCCTTCGCTGCGCGACACAGTACAGCAGGCCATTTTGCACGACGAAATGCGGGAGAGGGTGGGGACCAGGCTGAACCTCCTTGCCTTCGATGACCCGGACCTGGGTCCATCCATGCTTCAGGCTGTCGTCCTCCCACTGTTCCTTCCCAAATGAGCCCCCTCCCGTCACCTGCTGGAACACATCATAGAAAAGATTAGGATTTTGGGAGGGGGACTCACCTTCTCTCCCGCTATCCGAGGCCAGAAGCAAGGGCCGCTGACGAGGCCCTGTCGTGGGCCTCCTTCTTCGACGGCCCCCTCCTGGGCTGGCAGGCTGCATAGCCGTGGCCAGCAGGCGGTCAAACCCTGGCCAGTCTCTCCCGATCAGCACGAGGACGGGAAGATCCTTCATGACCCGACTTCCACTGGCCAGGCACCGGGAGCGGCCGAAATGGTCACCCTGCGAGCGGGAACTTGTCGTGTATCCCCGTGGACACAGGTTATGGTGAGGAAGGCTTTCTATTCCGTTCGGGGGCGAGAATCTGCGACTGGACCAGAGTGACTGCACTGCCTGAGTCCAGGATGGCCCGGAACGGCTTTCCATTCACTTTCACTTCCACCTCTGGAGCTCCAACCGGCAGGTCGTTGTGCACAATGCAGCCGGCCAGCCAGGTCTGTGCGGGACGTGCAGGGACTTCCGTTGGCATGGGCTTATCCCGCGTAGAGGGAGCTGCCGGCCTGCCTACTGGTCGCGGGGTGCCCTCTGGCGCGCGCCACTCCTGGTCACCCTCCGGGGAAATGGCGGCGCTCGCTCCCCAGCCTCCCGGTGTTGGGCCGCATCCGCCAGCTCGACAGCCTCCACCAGCTCGGAGGTGGTGGTTGGGTTCCTCATCCCCACTGCCTGTTGGTGGGATCGGGGAAGGGCTCGGAGGATACGGTCAATCACCACGCGCTCCGCCACCTGTCCAGTCGATGGAGCCCCATCCAGCAGCCAGTGCTGCGCGAGTCGTGTGAGTTCGGTGGCCTGTGCACGGGCCGGCAGACGGGGCTTATACTCCCACTCGTGGAATTGCTGGGCGGCACAGATACGGGATAACTCCAGGTGGGCTAGGATTTCCTTCTTGACCTCCTTATATTGATCAGCGGAGGCGGCGGGAAGAGCGAAGTATGCACGCTGCACTTCGCCCTTCAGCAGGGGAGCCAGCACCCATGCCCAGTCATCCTGATGCCACCCTTCCAAGGTGGCCGTCGCTTCGAACATTTGTAAGAAGGCTTCTACGTCATCATGAAGGGTCAGCTTGGGTAGCAGCTTCGCGACTTGCACTCGGGGGTCCGGCAGCGGAACGCGTTGAGCGGCGGCAGCACGTAGTGCCACGAGTCCCTGCTCCATCTCTCCTTGACGGGTGGCAAGGTGCTCAACAATTTGTTGCTGGCGGATGCTAACCTCGGTGAGCCGCTGGAGGATTTCGTCCATGGTGGGGGAGGAGCGCTC